GCAACGTTGGCACACGCCCACAATTCATTCCATCTTTCTACACAGACATTGACAACCTTCGGCCTTCTGTCAAAGGGTTCATCTCACTCATTAATCCATGACCACCATTTTCTGCAATCATCAAGTGGCTTCACGATGTAATGCTTTCATGTTTTTAAAAAAAAAATTAATCTGTTTTTAACTTGTTCTTGTCATATTTTATATAATTTTGACCATTGTACCATCTATCCAGCTTTCACCATGTTACTGGGCGTTTCCCTCATCCTATACGTAAACAACAATTAGCAACATCCTCACATACTACTGTAAGTTAAGTCAATTTAAATTCATTTTACACTATTGTTGCTACTGTTATCATTGTAATTGCAGCTCCTGATGATGATGGCAAAGTCCATTGAAAGCTAGAGAGAATTAAAAAAGTATAGAGTCCTCTTTGCTTAAATTTTGTCGAAGTACCCAACAAAAGGCGGAAGCTTTAACTTTTCACTTATATAGGTATATATATATATATATATATATATATATATATATTATAGTTTCACAAAAACTTGACTTAAGCTCCCTCGTGAAATTTAATTTCCTATTTAAATGAGATAAGTCTAATATTATTTTTCTATAACTCTGAAGGTATTAGAAACTAACTTATGCCACTTCGTGATATTGAAGAGCAGCCTTTTTTAAGTAATAAAATCGTCTCAACCCAATTTTCGTATTTTCTGAGATACGCAAGTTCATGTTATTGGCGACGATATGTCCTAACCAACGTAGTGTTACTTTTTTGACTCATTTCTCTATCAGTGCCTACCAAAGTTGTATCATCGTAATGATAATACTTAGAGTTCAAAACGTCTACCTTCATTAGACTTGTTCCACTCTTTGCAAATTATGTAAGAAGTATCATGTCTCAATTATCTGCAACAAATTCTTGACTGTCTCAATCCACCTAGTCTGATTTCGTTGGAACTCACCATCTTGACGTTTGATATACGGGGTGATTGAGTTTTCAAAAATAAACTATTTACTGTTAATATGTACTATGTATCAAGATGCATTTTCATTGTATCACATTTTTTAATTTCCACCAATGCGTTCGTACCGAATTTCAGTGATCGTACGCCACTGATTTCTCTTAAAATTACAGTTATTCTACAAACCGCAATCACTTTTAAGCAAATTTGATTTCTTGATATCTTTCACCCCTATGCACGGTTTTTGATTAAAAAAGAAAAAGCCGTTTCTGTGTCTAGTCATAACAGTCACGTGAATATGACAATATCTCCATGCAGAGAAATAGACTTGACCTTTTTAGGTGCATTGAGCTGAAAAATCCAAGAGGTCTAATCTGTTCATAGATGAACACAGATTTCAAATTTCTTTTTATTTTAAGAAAAATCAGAGGTGCGCCAAATTATTTATTATTGGAAACTTAAACTCCTAGATATTGATAATCAATTAAGAAATATCCCTTATATTTTTCCAATAGAACATTCTATATATGTCTTAAAAAAAAATCTGAAAGGTCGCATCAAAAGAAGTTTGGCATAGGCTTCTGGACATTTTGTCCTAATCAATTTTTGTGGTTTTACAAGCTCTTCGTCAAAATAAGCTTCTCATAGTTACTCATTAATTAAGCCCTTACAAAATTTCGTTCAATATCTGGACACGGAGTTTATTAACGCAAACATAATTTTCTGGAAAAAATTCAAATTGTCAACCTGCATATTCTTAAAGCTTTGAATTGCATCTTGCGCAAGGTCTATTTTGGAATAAAGGTTTTAGGTTTCATTTTTAAATCAGTAGCGGTTCTCCAGAAATCATAGTTCAAATAGATAAATATCACATGATGCGTGGAAAGGTAAGCTTTTTAGTAAATGGGTCGCCATGACATAAGGTAGTAATGCACGAAACTTATTAAAGCGCTGGTCTAATGAGCAGCTATGGGCTATGAAGCCCATTTTGACAAAAGATTTACTTTGTCTGCAAAAGTGATTAACGCCAAGCTGATGAGGTGTTTTTCGGACAACATATCTCATAGCTCTAGAAGTGGTCGTGTAAACCCTATACTCCCCAAAGTATGCTATATCAAACTCATTCTTTTGGAAGAGGCTTTTCAGAGCAGACAGGGTCCTTATAAGAATGCACGTTGAAATGGTTTACTGCCCTCTCTGTGAAATGTCGGTAAATGCGTTTGCATGGATGCTAGTGCTTTAGATTTTTCGAGATAAAATACCTACTTGTATGTCTTACTATCACGTACTGCGCCAAATGACATTCAAATTACTTTCCGAGGTACCTGAGAAAGTGAAAAATACAGATATATACAACAATAACAATATAAAGTATCTGATACCTAATATATATTGATTCACCGCTTTTCCTCACACCTTTATTATGATCTTTTTTGATATAAGAACGCAACCAATCCGGGCATCAGTCCGATGCGGAGTTTCCTGCAGAAAATCAAAGTTAATCCTCCAATACCCTCTGCGCATTATTTACGGACGTGTTGTTTGCCCACAGCCTTCTAAACGTCGCGGAAGAAACAACTGAACAACTAATTACTACAGAGAAAATACAGGAAGTTTTCTCGGATGGGCTATAAATATCAAAGAAAGCTCGCTCAAGACTTTACCCCGTGGTTCTGTCAGACATCTGGCGAATGTCGAAAAAGCTTTTTGCTGACATCTTTGTAAAACTCTATGGCAAGGCGGACATTGGTAGAAAAGGTGAATGAACTCACAGTACATCAACAAAATGGAGTTTTTAACACAAAGGGCACATTTATTTTATACCGGGTATTTCAAATTCGAGTCTCATCATTGGAAATGGTGAGAGGCAGGGGCGAAGTCAGACAGATCCTCTAAGTTTTTTTTACCATACATGCCAGGGATCCAGATAATACCCTACAACAACTTGACAGCACTCGAGGTAAACTGATATTATTGTTATACCTAAAATATTAATTTCAAACTCCAAATATCCAACAAAGAGTTGTTTGAATTCAAAATAAATACACTGAGAGTGTCCCAACAGAACAATGGCGTCGAAATTGTGAGATCAGGTATCAGGCTTTTGAAGTCTGAGGATTCAGGCATTTGTATTCTCGGTGTTTCAAATTCGATTCCTACCACTGGGATCTCGGAAACTGTAACAGACAAGAAGTCGGTTAAATGGGGGCAAGTTGGACTTTAGAAAGAAAATGGTTCTTGGAGGGTTTCGCATTTCTGGGTGCTTCTGGAGAGAGACGAACTAAACCGATATTTCTCAAAATCATTTTTGTTTTTTCCTGGCATAACTGAAATTTCAGTATGACGGCTCTTCTCTTGTGCTCAATCTCTATTTATTTTTTTATAGACGCAATATTCGGTTTTTACAAATTGAATAAAGTTTTTAATCCTGACTCTAAACATGCATGATATGTTTTACGTACAGATTTCCCGGCCTTAGTTTATAATTTCATAAGTACACCTTGGAATTATCAAATAGTTATGTTTCATAAAATGATCTGCCAAGCATTCCCCAGTTTTTATATACTAAGCCTAGGTGAACATTTCCGATATCTGCGACGTGACATTGTGCATACTATGACGTTGGTTGGTATTATAAATCTATTTAAAAAAATTAATGTGGTTGGTCCAAACTCTTCGAATACAGAACGACCTAATGCTACATCGTATTCGTATTACTTAAGGGTACTATTAAAAAACAGTATTATATTATGAAGCTGATAAAAACATTTTGGAGTAAGTAAAGGACTCGACCATGTTGCAGCTTCCTAAACACATTTTGTATCCTCTCATTTCTAAACCGATGCACACATCTTGAATACAAATAATATACGGCTGGGGTGTCCTGTATGGTGCCTCCATCGTGCTAAAATAACGCTTGTTATAATCTACAGATTGTCAAATTATCTCGATGTCCTTTGAACGCGTATCTCAGAGACTTTAGCATTGGTTATTTAATAGGGTCAACATGATATAAATTGGAATTTTCAAAGCCTACTATGACATTACTAGTTTTTTCAAAATAACTTTTGGTAATGTACGACATGTCATAAATTTTTCGAATCAGTTGAAAACTCTGTTTAACTGTGTAAAAGTCCAGCATGGCGTCTATAAGAAAAAATAAAGTTAATGAAATGGGACAAGAGGCGTTATATTTACATTCCAATTATACCACCTTGTAGAAGAAAAAATCTGGCAGTGTAGGTCCCCAGAAATACTCAGAATTGCAAAACCTCCTATGTACCATCTTCTTGGTCATTTAACCGACTTCGAATCTTTTACCGTTTGCGATATCCCAATGGTGAGAGTCAAATTTGAAAGACCCGGTATATTCGATCTACCGAAAGAATCTAATATGAGCAATATTCTGCAGGTGTGTTGCAGTTTTATTTGGCGAGAAGTATCGGGCTCACTCTTCCTATCACTGAATATATACATGCTTCTCTTGCAAATGGAAGCGAGAGTGATGAGATACCGTACCATGAATATTGACGAGGTCCATTGACGCCACTATATTTTGTATTGATTCCAACAAGAAATAAATTGTTTAGTGAGTTTCTATCAAAGCATGCTCGGAGCGACATTGCCAAGAACATGTTGAAGCAAATTCTTTTTCTGATAACACCAAGGATCGTGAGCCGTATTTGAAAATTAGGATTAGCGCGAAAATATTTGAGATGGATGCCGCATGAGTCGAGTAGTCAAGTAGAGGAACAGTGACATGGCATATTGTAATCCCGAAAAACCTGCTCCCTTTACCTCAGCAAGAAAATGCTGCTAAGTCCAAATAAAAAGAGTTTGGAGAGGTATTGTTAGCCATTAGATAATTTTGAGACAGCACAGAAAAGTGCAAAGTTTGGTAAAAGAACAATTCGCTACTGCTTTATAAAACCACATACTTGTTTGGAGACGCGTCAGAAAATTGCAGTCCTTAGCCGGGAGCTTCTATGGCATTCACCATACTCTTCAAACCTAACACATCCTGACTATTACCTGTTCTTTTCTTGTTGTTATGAGGTTTTCTGTAAGGTAGAACATTCAAAAATGAAGCCGATATTCAACAAGCACTAGATAAATTTTTCGCGTCTATAGATAAACGGTTTATGTTGGACATAACATTTGAGCCGTAAAGTTTCCACTGATAATGTTTCTTATCAGTGCTTGAATCGACAAATCCTCACTGCAGTAGATGATTGAAATTCCATTGAACAGCGTCTAATCTTTTATCTAAAAAGTCTAGATAAGAACTATCCTGGAGTACCGTTCACGTGGCAGCGGAGCTGTGGCATTGTCTATACTTGAATATTCGACTGATTGGTGAAATATCCTCAATAAATGGTCTCAAAGCTCTGCCTGGAAACACTCTGGTACGATCCTTCGAGACTTAGCCGCATTAAGAATAATAATAATAATAATAATAATAATAATAATAATAATAATAATAATTTATTGATGTTAGTACACAGAAAGAGTTCAAAAAAGTCAATATATACTAATAGAACGCCTAAAAAAATACATCAGACATGAACAAAACCAGTTAAAAACAATGCAATGCATAATTACTAACAACAAATTGAAGAGAAAAAAACAGTACAAAATGTCGTCATGTGATAAAAAGAACATCGCTTAAAAAAATATATGTATAAATTAACTATACACATACAGACAAACAAAACCATAACAAATGTATACAAGTTGGACGGTCAGATAAATAATTAATGATTCAAGGTATATCACTAAAGTCATTTACCAAATATTCGCCCGTGCTAAAGAATGAGTTTTTTTTATTAAATAATACTTGAGTTTTCCGAAGATAAACATCAATATCCAATGATTTTATATTGTTGGGCAGCAGATTAAAAGATTTAATACCAGAAAAGTTTATTCCAACTCTTCATTTTTCTAGACGGTAGTTATTATGACAAATGTTGTTTCTATTTCGTCTTTCATAATTGTGGTTGTCACTATGAGTGGGGAAGGTACTAATGTTGCGTTTGATATATAGGAGACAACCCAAAATATACGCGCATGGAAGGGTTGGTATCGCCAATTTAATGAATTCAGCCTTGCAGATGTCTCTGTATTTCAAACCAGAGATACAACGCCTTTGCATGCCAAACACTTTTTGCATATGTGGAGAGTGTCCTCAGACCAAAATTGCATATGTCAGACTTACAACCATTAAAACGTACTAGTTGTTCTCAGTCGGATAAGTAAGAGTCTAAAAGGGTGGATGTGATAATAAGCAAATTTTCTTATTAAAATGCTATGTTGCAGACAATCAAAAGCCATAGATAAATTGAAAAGGTCCGCCTTGATATGTAGGTGGTTATCAAATCCTTCGTTAACAAGATCTATGTATAAGACAATTCATTGCTGTAGTAGTAGATCTGTCCCGTATAAATCCAAACTGCTTGTCATTAAATAATTGACTTGACGCGAGATGAGAGGTTAGTTGATCCTTTAGCAGAACTTCAAAAATCTTAACAAAGTATGAGATTAGATAAATTGATCGATGGTTAGAGAGCACATCACCCGATCCGTTTTTAAGTATTGGAATGACTTTGGATATCTTGAGAATTTTAGGAGCAGTACTATTTCGAATACAAATATTAAACAGTTTAGTGAGTGGAACGATAATCAGCTTCATTATGTACATCAGTGCTCTGAATTTTTTAGTGGTAAAATCGCAGATTTGACCCGTTTGTAAAATACTTCTTTGAACAAGAAAAGGTCGATGTTGTCAATATGAACCAAGTAGTCTAGGGCATCCCGATTTGCTGGAAGAATATTGTCAATGAGCGTCTGTGCTATACTTGAGAAGTATGAATTGAATTCGTTAGCATTCAAGATGTTACTTTTGTCCTGACTATTGCCACCTGCTTATTGCTTGAATTGTTTATACAGGGTGACTTTGAAGTTGAGTCATTAATTTTCAGATAATGATTGTAGAAGGAAGATAAACCAAAATATGTGTGTGAAAATAAAAAAAAATTAAAAAAAAAATTTACCTTGTTTTATAAAGTATCCTCCCGACAAGTATTTCAGTGCGGACCTGTATTTGATCGTGAGGTCTTGGAGCACCGGCATGCCGTCCATATGTGAGGTCTTAAGTCAAATGATTCACGAACCCGTTGTACTACATTAACAAAGGCACGAGGGGTTGGTTGCACTCGATTGGGAAACCGATCCGCATAAACATGTGCCATTTTTTATTTCGTTTGAGCCACGCAACAGACACCACTATTCACTACCGACTGACACTGACTGTATACAACTGAATGAAATAATTGTAAAAACATCGTTCCAAATTCTTTCGCTTTTCTGTTTCCAATGCGATGAACCGATAAGGCGGATTATATCCGTTGTCGCCAAACACGAGCACATAATATTATTATTGAGACAGGGCGGTACTCAAACTTCCAAAGGGCTATAACTTTGTTACTTTAATTTTACCAGAAAAATGGTAAAGAAAAAAAACATTTCTTTTGATCAGATCTACTCACTGTTAAAATAAATGACTCAACTTCGAAGTCACCCTGTATACGAGTCGTGTGCTTGTTTTTTGCTATTATTGATAGCCTGCCTATATTGTGATCTATACTCGTTAACAGCTTGTTTAGTAACCATCTGTGGGTTAACCTTGTACCAATTCATGAAAAGCCTCAAACGGTCTCTCATAGCATGCCAGTGACTGTCACACCAGTTCGTTTTTCTTCCCCCGTTGTTATCCCTAACAAAGGTACGTAATTTATATGAAGGCATTTTTCAAATTTACTGCTGATTATATTAATGAATGTTTCAAAGGTTTGCTCGATGTGATCATTTCCCTCGATGAATGACCGGTCAACCTTCTCAATTTCGAGGGCCGGAGGCCCTGTCTATGTTTGTGAATATATTATCCAGACAGTTATGCCTCCTAGTAATTTAAACGATCAAGAGTAGTGCATAATTTGTTAAGGACTGTATCGAAATCGCTCTTAGGGCTTTTGTAACGAAATACTTTGAATATTGTTAATATAAGGGCCTGCTATCTCAAAAGTCTGTTGTTACTTTTCTGCAAAAACTGAAGCTGGCAAAGGCGCCACATCAACGTTGGTTTTTATAAAGATTGCTAGTCCACCATGCCTATTATTTTTTCTGCAAAAGCCTGATACTGGTTTGTAACCTATTAACTGATTTACAATGAATTCACCCTCATACAACCAATATACATTCAAGCACAGCACATCACACTGATTGTCAGATCCTAACACTACTGTACCTGTCACTTCGAGCGGCCTGATTTCTTCTCTATATTCTATATCGGTCGAGCTCTATACGATGGTAATGGGTAGGTGTGCCCTTTTTCTTAGGATATTGAAGTCTGAATAATAATGAGTATAGTTTAAAGATGTGGATTGCAAGTTTGATCTTTTACCATTGTCTTTCATATAATGCTTCTCTGGAATAGCCGCTGGATCCCGTGTCTGTCCTGACCGAATTGTTCTGAAGGAGAAATTGAAATAATCCAATCCACTGATTTCGATTCCGATCTTCGTGGTTTCGGAAACCGGCGAATTTGTTTCCGACTCTGGTGATTTCGGTATCGATGATTTTGATTCCGGTGGTTCCGTCTCAAATAGGATCGGATTAGGTTTGGTCAAGCTGTTTGAAAGGAACTTTAGTGCTCGGATACTAATATTGTTGCTACCACAACAAGAATTGTCGCTTCTAATTGCAGCCGCTCCAAATAAGTAAAGATCTATAATTCAATCACTTAATGTTTTCAGTATTACATTTTATTGAGGATATGTTATTCCACGATACTGCTCCTACACATGAGAAATTTTCAGGGTTGAAATATAGTATGTGATATTTCGACATAGACATAACGAAAACCTATTCCTGTGTTCAGTTGCCTGTCTACCAGAAATGTTAGAAAGGACATTAGCCCGTGGAACGGTATAAGATAAAAAAGAATTTTATACAATTTGCCTCATTTAGCTATGATTCGGAAATAGCTGTGAAAAGGGCACTTTTTGCAGATTTTCCAATAGTATACTAAGTGACATATAAATCCGAACACCCAGTTTAAATGGTTTTATTTTAATAAAAGTTGGTGACTGTATTTATCTTACTGTAAATAACAAGTGAAAAAATTTTCAGCCTTATCAGTTGGACATTCCGGTTTTTATACTGCTTTTTTTTAATTCACTAACGCTCTAAAAATGAATATTTCAGCCGCAGTAAAGAATCAACGTTGGCGGATTTTGGTTCTTGACATCCTTTACGATCGGTTACGATGCCTATAGTACGGAGACCTGTACGATTTCGTCAACTTAGTGAGTTTGATAGGGGCCGTATAGTGGGACTTCGGTAAGCTGGACTTTCTTTTCGGGCAATTGCAGTTAGAGTGCAAAAAAGTGTAGACACTGTGGTTAGGTGTTGTCAGGCATGGCTTCGAGAAGGCCGTACGCAAAGAGCAAGGGGCAGTGGACGCCGCCGTAGAACAACAGACCGTGAAGATCGCCGCCTAAGATTATTGGCCTTAAGGGACCGTTTCTCCACTGGTCGCCAGGTCCATTGCAAATGAATGATTTGCAGAACACGGAAGACCTATTGGCATGCGAAGTATTTACCGACGAATGAGAGGTTGTGGCTTGTTTTCTTACCGGCCACACTGGGTCCTCCCTTTAACTCGAGAACACCGACGTAATCGCCTTGAGTGGTGCAAACAACGGGGATCAGGAATGGAACAGTATTGTCTTTAGTGACGAGTCTCGATTTTGTTTAGGCATGCACGATGGTCGTGCCAGGGTTAGAAGGCGACGTGGTGGAAGGAGGAATCCACAGTTTTTTGTTGAAAGACATGTTCATCACACTGTTGGAGTTATGGTTTGGGGTGCTATAGCTTATGGTTCCAGGTCACCTTTAATCTTCATCAGAGGTAACATGAACGCGCAGCGTTATATCCACGAAGTTCTAGAACCCCATCTTTTACCCTATCTTGACACCCTGGCAGATCCAGCTTTCCAACAAGATAATGCCCGACCACATGTTGCAAGAGTCACAATAGACTTCTTTCAACATAATGATGTCACATTGTTACCATGGCCACCAAGATCTCCCGACTTATCCCCAATTGAGCACGCGTGGGATATG